AAAAATTATGAATGCACTTTGTGGACAAAATGCAGTCACTGATTGTTACAGGAGGTGGTAAATACTGTTACCACTGTGTTTAAAGGATTAATATGTTACAGCATTTTTACATACTTGAAGACATTGAAAACCAGCTAGTTACAAATGAGAAAATGTTCATGTTTATAGCTAACGTATGTTTTCAGAGCTACCAATATCACTTTTGGAGAAAAAATTGCCATTACTTTTTGACTTCCCCTTGTGTGAATGTTCACATTTGTATATGAGAGAGAGCAAGAGTAAGCAGTCTAATTTATTTATTTATTTAAGAAGAGTCACATTCATTATGACAACTCTGAGTGTGAAAACACTGCCTGTATTGTGTATTGTAAATGAAAAAAAATATTTTATTTAATGTCATTTTGATATCCAGATCATATAATGCTGATTATAATGAATGGTATCCAGATCATATAATGCTGATTATAATGAATGGTAAGCTGGGTAGTTGGAGACGATACTATGCAAACCATAATGTAGCTGTTTTCTTTAAATCAGATGGACAAATTGAGTTATTTGTGACAATATTATAAGAAGTGGCTTTGGTTAGGGTTTTTATTGGATAATCTGTTACAGTAATCCTTTGGATTAGTAAAATAAGACTGCCACATTTAAAAAGGGTAAATTAATGGGGAACTGTATGAAGAGAATTTAAATAAGATGCAGAAATTGAAGGTGCTAATTTTCATGGTGTAAGTAAGGAATTAATAAGTAGCTCTTGATATCTTACACAGATTAGAGTCTGTAGGTAAGTTATGGTCCTAAATTTCCAAACTCATTTGTGTCTGGCTTTTGTGCATTTCTTAAATATACTTTGGGTTCAGAAATATGTATATGTGTTTGTTCATGATTCAGTTTATGCTCTCTAAAGTGTTGAAAGTAATGTCTGCATTATCCATTTCCCACAATAGAATACAGAAACCTATGAACAATATTATGTAATCCCTGTAATGAATATGTACATGAAATCTGAAGTAGACGTAATAACAGGGGTGGTTAAGCTGTGAGTGTAATCATTAAAAGAGTGATAGATCCCAACTTATTTTTAGCAGAGCATTGAAGTATAAATTACTAGTGAGAGATTGTGTACATTGAGATCTAAAATAAGCATTGTAATTTTTAGATGTTATACATAGCAACATGCAGGTGCCTTTTCATCCTTTCCCATTAACCATCAAACCTTTTAAGACTACTATTGGACTTTGTTCCAGCCCACGCTTCTCAATAGCTTTTCAGCCTTCACCATCTCCACTGACGCTACTGACTGTTCAAGTTTCCCAATTTGTTTCATAGATATTCATAACATTACATGAATCTTGTATACTATTTTTAGGTGTATTCACAACTGTTAAGTAGATGTGTCTGTTAGCCTCGTCATGTCTGTCTGTCCACATGCAACAACTCTAATGCCTGAACAGATATTCATGGAATTTGGTATTGAGGACTTTTGTGAACATTTGTTGGTACCTCTCAATTTTGCTTTATGATGCATCAGGCACTTTGTATGAAGACCTGCTTGTGTTTCTGTGTGTGCAAGTAACCAGATAGGAAATCCCCAGCCAGCTGTGCAGCAATGGGAATTCCCTGTACTGACACTCTCATTCTGGTAGGCACCATTTACCATACTGATGCAGAGGTCATTGGGATTAGATAACTGTCATCACTCACGCCATTTGCAAAGGCCAAATTCTGGTGAACATGACAGAATTGTTATACTGTGCACACATTTCCTAGCATGTTTATTGTTAATTCCTTACTGAAGATGAGTGTCTTCTGAGATGTTGCACTATGTAGTCTGGTATTAGGTTGTTCAGTATGAAATGTTGGATTTTGCACTGGCCATGCAAAATATGAATGGGGCCTTCAGAGAAAACAGCTGACGAACGCATGGTACAGCAGTGGTTTAAAAAGTTCAAGTCCGACTGACATTTCAGAGCTGTTTACTGCTTCCATTATCAGGGCATTTGGTAATTTTCTACCAGAGTACATGATTCAACATCCCAGAAGAGTCATCTTCATACTCATTACTGAGAACCTGAAAACTTGCCATCAAATTTCTTTATCTTTTTACTATCTGTTCCAATTCTAATCATCACCAATCAGTTTTACATCACATTTGTACAGTGTTGGGCTAATAGGCTGTTTTCATCCTGAACTTTTGATGTTTGTAGGAAGTGATTATAATGGGTGAACAGACAGATGTGACCTCTCATGCATTTGCTTTGTATAATGTGTGAAAAAAAGAAAAACATGAGAAAAGGTGAACTTATGAGAGGTATATAAATGAAGATGCTGGAGAAAGCTTGGACTGTTCCTCTTGGTACAGAGAGTGGCTATTCTGGCTGAGTTTGTTGTTTTTTCAGTCTCTCCAGGTAAACACTTGAATAATATTTTAAATAAGGCAACAACCACTTCCTTCCACACCCTTTCAATTTATTTAGCTGTCTGAACTATTGAGGGTCATTGAATAAACCATAAATAAATACAATTCAGGTATTCCACCCACTGAATCATACAGAAGTTTCAGATCAGTTGAGGCTAGTTAGGGCCATATGTGTTTGTTTATCCAGTCACATGACAGGAGCAAGGTTTAGTGTTTAGCACTCTTATATATTTGGGAGCTAATGATTTTGAATCTCATCTTGAATTTTTTGATACAAAAGAGTTCATGTCATAAGTTTACTGAGTGCATTCTTTTTCAAATAATCTCAAAATCACTTCTTCATTTCACATAATTGGCTTGCTTGATACCAGATCTGAGTTCCACTGATGTTGATCAGTAAATAGTAAGTCGTTCCAGTAAAGACCAAGAACTGTACTTTCAAGGTACTCCCATATAATTATGAGTCTGGAGCGTGCCATGTTTCTGATATTGCAGTTTCAATTGAGTGTAAAATTTGGGCATCTGCAGCTTGTAATCAGTGGTCAGACCATATAGGAAATTAGCTATAAAGTTAACAATTACAGATTGAAATAGTCAAGAATATTCAGCAGCATATTACTCAAGTTCATGAGAGATTTGACAGGGTAAGGTTGAGAAGCACTATTTTAGACATTTGTATGTTACGTAAGCCTATTATTTTCCATAAAGATCTTGAATTTAATATTTTACAAGGTGATGTTTGGTAAATTTAATAATAATGTTATTTATATATATGATTCTAATCATTCTTTATGCTAGGAATTATTTTGGTTCAAGAGAATTGTTTAGTAGAACTATCAGTGATATGTCTTATTCTTTTTGCTGGAATAGATTTGATGATACAGTAGCAGGAATAGTTCCTGTTGGGAAGTTTAATAGTGAGGATGAATTTTTATTGTGTTGCAGTTAGTTATACATTTGCTGTCAATCTGAGATTTGTACATATTCATAGTAAATATATTGACCATGTTATATATTATTAGTAGTAAATACAACAGAATGTCTGGCCATATTTAGCGCAAACTTAAGTTACCAGGTGTATCAAATCTGCACAAAATGTGTCATACATGCATGCTTTCTCTTAATTATATAAAAACCCTAAAGAATGTGATTGCAACAGTTACTGTGTTTTAACTTAGAATATGACATTTTTAAAATGTAAATAGTTATAGAAACATAAAACTCCATGCTGTGAAGATTAACCATGGAAATATAAATGGTTGTTTTCACCATAATATGGAAACAGATGACATTCTTTTATGTTCTTGTTGCTACAAGAGCAATGTTTTTGGCATGTGTAAGAGCTCACTGATAGCTGTTATTTAGAATGGGAAGTTGTATAATATGTAGCATAGAATTATGTTTACTGTATATGTGAATAACAGTTATATAAAAAGTAAATCCTCTGCTGATATATTTATGTATAAATGACAAAAAACAAACAATGAGAAGCATGTACCTAACATTATTGTGCATATTTCATGGTTTTTATATTCTGATGTAACAGTGTGGTTCAGTATTTGTAAGTGGTATAAGAATTTGTATTATTAATGTTGACACCTTTGTACAGATACCCACCTACAAAATATCTTAGTTAATTTCAAGATTAAAATGTTGTCACAGGAATAAGTACATTTATAATTATTTCAGGTTTGTGTTACATATACCCCCTGAGAACAATATAGGCTCTAAACATCTTCATCACTGGGCCAATGATGACATTAAAGCTCTCTTGTAAGGGAGCTGGAAAAATGCTGTTCTCTCCCAGAGATCTGTGGACGCTGAAGTTATAATATTCCCACATATCTAAGTCATAAGACTTTAGACCTGCCCAACCAATGTCCCATTCCTGCCTGGCCTATTGAGTCAAGAGGCTATATGAAGTGTCAGCTTCACTTATGAAGATGGCGCTCTTCTGGGTTGTTGTGCCATGTAGTCTGGTAGACGTTTACCAACGTTTCAGAGGTCATACTGCCTCCATCATCAGGGCGATGAGTATGAAGATGGCGCTCTTCTGGGTTGTTGTGCCATGTAGTCTGGTAGACGTTTACCAGGAAAATGAACCACCAGCATAAGCTTTGCCTCTCTCCCGAGGAAATTCCCTAAGAGGAAGTAAAAGTAGCCCAAGTCTGATTCTGGAGTCTTTAGTGAGAATTTTATGGAGCCTCCCAGCACACAGCATGTAATTGATACTCTATAAGAAGCTTCTCCAACTAGCTCAGACTCCTCCTCTCAGTCTCCTTAAAGGAATCCCAGTCAGAAATGATTTCCAGTATCTTCTGTACTGTTGCATAAAAATGTTTTTGGTAACATTTGTAATTTTTATATTACAGTATTTTATTTATTCATTGATTTAAAATGGTGTAACCTGCTGAAACACATTTCAGTTATCTTCCTTTGTCAGACCCCCTGTCATGTATTACCTGTTTATTTAGTAAGTGCTGTTCTTGAATGCCTTGAGACTGATTTCTGGTTTATGATATTGAGAATTTTTACGTAACAGAAAGATACTATTATCTGAACAAAGTTCTGTCATAGATCAGTATAGACTGTTACATTTATTTATTATTATTTTACAACATAGCTAACATAACTATACAGTGTAAATAATGCCACAGAATACATTAACTCTTCAAAATACAAATACACTTGATCTTGCTTTATATAATACATGGTACATAATTGGCAAACTTGAAATATGTTAAGTATAACAAGAACGGGTGACTTATGGGAAAGGTCTTGGTGATTTGAAACAGACAAAAACACCATTTGATGAAAAGTGTTAGGCAGTGGGATGGGTTTATTTCAACAGGAAAATGTGTTGTGTCATAAAGTCTTCCTTCACCAGTTGCCTCAGACTGCAATGTAGAAATTATCCCACTTTACATAAAACAATGCATTACTTTCAACTTTTCTGCACATATAAAAAAAAGCTGGCAGAGATATATCAGATTCGATGCATACTATGCATATTATTTAGAAGTGATGGTTGAAGTTCTGAAAGCATTCACCACTGGCATTTTATGATTCTAGAGTTTGATAATACTCATACTTCAGCTAATGCATTTCTAACATTTCATACAAATTTCACATCAATTTATGATGGTTTATCAAATACAATCATACTAAAGTATGTACTGACAGAATTAAAAAGTACAAAGTTGGCAAGGTTATAAAGGGCATGGAGTTTATGCAGTTCTATTAAAATCAATCTAAAGAAAGTGTATAAAATGTCATAGGACAGGTTGGATGGACTGACAAACACAGCTTCTAGTAGGGTTCTGAAGACAGAACCCATTTCCTTCAGGTTATACTTCACTTGAATGAAAATGTGCATCTCAATTTGCAAAGTATGGACATTAAAAAACTATCTGTGTTGTAACATGTAGGTAGTTTGGAACTACAAGACATAGAGAAAATATGTAACTTACATTCTGGAATGATTAAGATATAAAATCTATTCCTATTATAAATTGCTTTTAAATTCTTTCCAAATATGTATTTTTGGTTTGGAGGTATAGAAAGTATAGAACTTACTTATATTTTATGGACATTTAAAATACTGCTTTCTTATTCATGAATTATAGTATACGATCTTGGTAAGAAGTAAATCTGTCTACAACTTGGGACAATTTCCAAAGATAAATGACACAAACTCCACAAGTCTTTTGTTTCTGAGAACTGTAGATACAAAAATGTAAATATAAGGGCAAGTGAAGGAATTAATCAAATATAGGCATGTGGCAACACTGACTTCTTTCAGGCTCATTCCAAACAAATAATAACTTTTCACTTTGTGATGCAGAAATAATGTAGAACCTTTCCTAAATTCTGATTTGTTTATTGATCAATTTAACAAAAATTATACTTCAGATAATATGTAATATTAAATTTGAATAGAGCATATCAATAGACTGTCCTGGATGTGGCAAGAGCTATTTGCAACTTGTTTTAAGGTACTACTGGCATCTGCCAGGAGGAATGGAAGGATATAACAAAAAACCTAAGTCAGGATAAATACTTTCCTCATATGCAAACTGGGGAATTGCTGAATACAATGCAAGAGTGCTTGCCAGGATAGCATGATGATCAGATTATATTTGTTACTTAATTTTTATGTAACATTTCTGCTCACGAGACCAATATGGTCACAAAATGTTGCTCATTGTAATCAATGTATTTTAATACTTAGTGGCATTTGTGGTTCTGTATACTTAAAAGAATTGGGAAATACACATTTAATGTGTCATGGCTGGAAATAACATTCTGAGATACCTTTGTGCATATTTCTAATTAACGAATACTTGAATGACTTTGCACCAACTGTATGCATTGCATAGCACCAAATGAGACACAAATGGAAAGGAATGTGGAAGCAGGTATTCCCCTGAAGGGAATTAAGGACAAAGAACCAAAATGAGGTCTTTTTAAATAATGAGGCACATCAATATACAGTAAAATCCATACATGTTAGACTATCTTTGTAATCAGGGACTGATCACCAGTAGAGTTTTACTCCATATCAGTGTCGCTGATGCCCTGAGCAGTTAATCATGATAGATCCAGACTTAAATAAAATTGATTTACATGCCAAAACTCATTTTCTTAATTGTCCACAGAGCTATGTTTTATGTCTACAAATGGTTAATAATGACTCTGCTATATAAACGTGCTTCATTATGTTTCTACTTTTTGTACATCACGCAGTGGCATAGGGATGGATCGGTGGGAAGGAACTGCATATTAAATTTGGCCTTTGCTGTAACTGGTTTGAATATTAATCCAATACTATACTATGAAATCATGCAAACATGTTTACAATACTTCTCTAAGCAAGCTTATAAAAAAGGAAGAACACATACTGCACCAGTGTTTTTCTCCAGGAAGTTTGATGAATATGCAGAAATGTCAAGAGAACTTAGGTCTAAGGTGTTAACAGGTTTTATCTTTCATTTCACAGTTTACCCTAAATAAATGCTTTATTATTATTATGTTCAATGATTGTAGTTCCAGGACATATCTGAACATTCAAATGAAAATGTAGCTTAAAACAGCTGACACCATGGCAAATGATTGCTTGAGAATTGGACTGAAATGATAAACCTATGATGTCATTACTTGCACAGAACAAATATAATTAGTGGTCTGTGAGAGTTATACTATTAAGAACATAAAACTTTTATAGTAATATTTGACTATAGTTCAAATAAAGGCTTTGTGATAGAACATAGCTAGAATTTGAACCCAGGTTATTGTTTCTGACAAACTATTTGACTAAATATTGAAGATTATTTTATTTATACAAATCAGTGGTAGTGAATTTTAAAACATGCTTGTTGAAGTAATGTAATAAATGTAAAGAAACTGTGTGGTCTTATCACAGATTACACCTATTCAGTGGAACAATATTTCTATAAAATTCAATGTTTCTTCTATATGTTCCCAAATGCACAGCATTGTCACTAGCATATTCAAGCATTATATGTAAAGTGGGAAAATGCAAGACAAGAAGTTTACAGAGCTCAAATTGAATACCTAAGCAGATGTGTAAGTTCCATACGAATGTGACAAGTCTGCTGTCAGTGTTCTGATCTTATCAATGTTGCGTCGCACAAGTTAGCTTTTCCATGTGATCAGTTTTTCATTGATACAGACTTTCTTACATTTTGTAAAGAACACTTCTGCATTCATTCTATCTTTATGCGTACAAACACAATCTCTCTCTCTCTCTCACACACACATAGCTATCATACATACATTAATGCTGCACAGTTGTATCCAGAGAAAAACAGCGTGTATTGTTGTAACCATTACAAACTGGAACTGTTCATATAATTCTTATAAGAAGTATTAGCAATGTTCCTACAGTTTGAGACAGATTTTTCTCAAATATTATTCTGTTTTGGCCATTGTCCAGTGTTGTACATTAATTTTTTTTTCCTTGCTCTTATCAATTGATGAGGAGATGTAATGTTAGCAGTATATATGTCTGCTTAGAATTTTGTGATTACCCAAGGATTCAAAACACTTGCATAGCTATTGCACAGACAACATAATATTTCAATGTTCATGCTTATGCAGTTATATTACTGTGTGCAACATATTTAAATCATCCTTGCACACATTTATAATAGTGGCAAGGCATAATTGTCCTTCTGTAACAGTGAGTTAATATCAGAATTGAAAACAACTGGGAAATTCACAAGATTTCATTAAGTGGTGCCCTTTCATATGATTTTTATTTGGTTAGAAATGCTTAATAAACTTTGAGGATAACCTTATTCTTTCTTGTATAATTCAAAAACAAAATTTATTCAGATTCAGCAGTTACTTAGTCCTGAGATTAACGGTGCTAAAGTTACTGGTTCTTTTCCATATTTTGTGCTGATTCTATTATAAGAGATTCTTGAAACTGTCATCTACTGCATTGTGACAGAATTTTGTCATATATATATATAGTTACTGACAGCAACACATCACATAACTGACTGGCTGTTGGTTCACCAGAAACCATTACCACCACCACCACACACCTTCACTGTTCCACATATAACCAGGATTCCAGACATACAAATCAATTAACCTCTTATAAAATCCATTAGGCTCACAGCCTGCTTCACATATTTTTGTGGGAAGTGTTGACAGGTTAATATCGAAGGACAGGACTGTAATACATTCTTCAGTTGCTTTTTGGACCTCACACACAATGATAATAATTTATTAAATGTTAATATGTACTAAGGAAAGAAGTATACTTGTCACTGGTCCTTATTAGCTCATATGTGACATGTGGACAGGAATATTTCTGAATCTGTTCATATAACAATTTTAGAGGGTATAATCTCACAAAGTAATAGTGAATATATTTCACAAAATGGAAAATATGTAAGCCTACAAACTTTGGGACATAGTTCTGACTTAGCAACATTATGATATGTAAGATATATAGCTTATGAAAAAAGATTCACAAAATGTAAATTCTACAACAAATGCATTCCAAACTTTATAGGTGTTTCAATGTTATGGATTAATAATTAAGGTTAATATAAATATAAGGTGCACCCATGTATTAAGGAAAAATGTTAGTGTTTGATATCTGGATTAGTATACCCTGCATCAAGAAATGCAATGCTGAAAAAAGTTTCAGAACAAAGCACGTGTAAAATTTGTTAGCTTGAAAATAATTTAAAAGAAATGTACATAAAATTGCTACAAGGAAGAAACCTGGTAGATTATGGCAATTTTGAAATAAGACTTGATAACATAAACACTGAATGAAATTATAAAATTAGTTTTCATCCAAGTTCCCATTCTTAAAATCCATAATTACCCAACTGAACAACAATTTATTTATATATATCTATTTTCTACAGGTACTGGAGTTCAACACATCAAACCACCACTGAGCAAATGGTCTTACATTTTACAAAAGAAAAGGATATTTGAAGAAACTGTTACATTCATGATGTACAGACAGTATATCTTGCATGTTACATTACGAAGTTGAGTACAGGAAATACAATAATTCCTTTCTAATCGTTTCACTTTTAGTTTTAGTAGAATATGTCTCTTCACTCTTTGAATGTACAATGTGTACTTTTTTATATTTGGTGTATTCAGTCTGGTTCCTGTATGCTGGACAGAGTCAAGACAGACATGAGTAAAAGGCAAAAGTTCTGTATAGTATAACTTCCATTTAATTAAGAACAGTATCTTTGTGTTAAAAATTATTTCAGGAACTGCATTAGACTTTGCCTTATACTTCTTTTTCACAATTCTTTTAATATTTGCTGCATATTTCATACAGCCCTATGTTTATATTTGTTTTTACAGTTTAACAAATTTCAGGAAATCAAATGAATTTGAAACAAAGCCACACAAGCTACTGAAATCAATTTGATCTGTAAACTTGCTTGCTGTAATGTAGATATGGCTTACATACAATCAGTGTGTAATCTCTTCTTGCTGAAATTTTAAGAGTACTGTTACCTTTATCATACAGGACAAGGGAAGTTAAATCTCTGAACCATGGGACTGCCACCCATACTTATAACTCCTGGGCTTAATGGTTGAGTGGTATGTGACACACAAGCTGGACCATGAGTAAGCCATGACACAAGGCCAATAAAGGTGAATTTGTATTCAGAAAATCTTTTTCTAGACAAGTTCATTTCTTTGTTTTACACTTAATTTTTACATTGGAATATTATATTGCATTCATACAAACACCAATAAAGCACCATGCAGGAAGATCGAAGATTACATTACGCAATACTTAGGATTGGTGAGGTACTGAGCAAGGAAGGAAAACCGTTAAACATCTGACTTTTATTTCCTGTAACTTGCACATTTACGGCTAACTCTGTTCCTGTCTGGGTTCTTCTGTGGAGGAAATGAAACATTAATGAATGAGTAGTTTATTTTTGTATTTGAGGCAATGCCCACTAGGCACAGTACTGCATGATCATAAGTCATGGACATACAGTATCCTTTGTCCTTATTGTGTCAGAATGAGAAATATTAAATAGAAATGGAAGTGTGCAACGAATATATGTTACAGATAATTTGTAACTTAAATATTTTCTTTTAAATTAATTAACCAAACTCCTATACTTTATAATCACATTTTTAGAACTTCCAATTCCAAAAGTTTGTTAGAACTTCTATTCTAATACAGAAGATTTGAAGGTACAAATAAAATGGTGGTGGGGTAACAGTGAAATTATATTTACACAGGACAACCTTGTTTGACATTCAATCAGGAAGTCCTACAGTACAATGACTGTGTGATGTCAATTGTAAAAGTCTTTCACTAAGGGTGTGCATTGCCCAATTTTTTGAGATATTTAATATTTAATGTAGCCTGATGTATGCTGAAAGTATATGACATGCTTACATTAATTTTCAGTTTCAAAATGTCTAATATTAGCTTTATTCTAACATCTGCTTGATCCTTAATATTTACACCCTGTTGGAATTCATGAATGCATCTTATTTACATCATTATAATCTTCTAAAACATGACTTTTATGACAGTAGTACATGGGGAGTCCAACAGCCAACAACAGATATTCTTGTTATGGTTTACAGTTAAAATTATTCAGTTTAGTGGACGACTTTCTACATACATTTTTGAACAATACAACACTAACTGACATAGAAGCTGTGGAAGACTGGACATTTCAAATCCATTAAGATTAATGCTTGGGCTGATTTGAACACTACAGTGAGTGACAAACTTAATTATGCAGTTAAAAAAGCTACAGCAACTGACAGTCCATTTGTCTCCCAGATGACAAAAATGGGTATTATTTTGAGAATTAATTTAAACTGTTGTGTGGTTTTGTTATAAATGAGGAACTTTTAAAAAGTTTCCTGTGACCTTCTGGATATTTGTGTACTCTGTATGTGAAATAAGAGAAGTATGATATCCCTACAGGCAACTTACGTTGCACAAGCTACATGTGAGCCTAGTGCTATGTTAAAATTGAGCAGTGTCTGTGTTATTTTGTGTTTACGTATTTTCAGCTTACAAGAATGACTGAAATACAAGGCTGTTGAAAAGACAGACAGATGAAGATGCCAAAGAACATTCTAGAAATTCATGTCATAATCCAGTTTTCCACAATTTGCAGAAGAAACCAAAATTTAAATCATATAATACACAAAGATCAATGCAGTCCTGCAATATATATTGCATAAATTATTCCTTCCAAATCATGGATACAGCTTACATTCAACATTTTTGTGCTTATGATGAGTAACATAAGTTACTAGGACCATCTGTTTCTGAATATAGCTGTTTATGTCTTAAATGTCTCTTCATCTCATTCTGGAATCACAAACTTCCAAAAGAAATTTCTTAATCTGATTTAGACTGTAAACCATTATCTTGTTCACATATATAGTAGGATTTATAATCCTTTCATGTTCTTCAAATACAAGTCCATTGGAATTAAATGTATGTATTATGTTTGTTTCTTGAAGGAACTTATAAATAGGACTATCCCCCCTCCCCCCACAGTCCCTACATTCTAAACCCTTTGACCCTGCACTCTGATAAATTCGTCTACTTTATTTTCTTCACACACAGTCACACCGTTCCTCGAATTTCTTGCCTTCATAAACTCTTATACTATTTGGCAATTCACAGAAATCATGCTACAGTAATGTGCCTATTATGTCAACATTAACCATCTAAATCCATTGGATTCAATTGTCACACAATAGGCCCTTTTATTAAACTGACGATTCAGAAAACAGAGTTTAAAAAAGTCAAATGATGTGTGGGCTGTCTGGGCTTTCTTCTGGAGTATTATGATGACCAGTAAACATTGGTAAATTCCTTCAAGCTCTTGCTCAGACATCACACTGAAAAAATTCTTGACTGCAGTTTACATCTGCCATACACTTGTTTCTTCTTTACACTGGGAGAAAATTACTAACACCTACAGAAGAAATTAGGAAAATGAATGACTATGAACTGAACATTTAATTCATAAAAACTTACACCTGTTAAACAATTAATATAACTGCTTGCAGTAGAATCCTTGAGATGCTAATAGTCTCTTAGCTAGTAAAGAAATTCTTTGCCATTTATTCAGCCTTGTTGACAAGAACCCTGTACTGGTCTCTGGCCTGAATCAGAGAGATTAAATTCACATCCTCGTAGCCTGTTAGTGATTATATGAAAGCATTCCCCGATTATCTAAGAATTTGGAACACACATTTAAAGTTGCAGGTATGTACACAAATAAATGCAATAAAACATTTTAATAATTATCTCACAAGAGTGGTATAATGGATGTTATTATGCATTAAAAATACTAGAAAACAGACAGTCATTGTCCAGACTTCATGTTTTCACTGGCTCTATATGATCAAATCTTTTGATGTCCAAAAGAAAGAATGTTGCATACCTCAAAGTGTCTGCAAGTGTTAACAGCATTTTCTCTTGTTTTGTTTAGGTCCTTTGCGAAGATTTACAGTGTCATTATTTTGAATAGCTTGCCTCTCTTTCCGCTCCTTTTTCGATCTCAAGACTTGTTTTGTTACTGCCATAAACATCTGAGAAAAAGTGAAGAAAGGTTAAAAACTGCTTATTTATTGAAGAACTAATGAATATCTGACTTTGTTAATATATATTATAATACAATTATAGTGAGCCTTAATACTCATTTCCTTTGACAGAAGGAAAATTCCTTGCTAATAATATTTGCTATAGAGAAAATAATACAACTATTCAACATCATACAACACAAAACTTAAATACAATTTTGTATGTTGTTGCATACCTCTTCAACATTTATGTTATCCTTTGCGCTAGTTTCAAACAACTGGATTCCCATCTGGTCTGCAAATCGCTGTGCATCCTCTGTCAATACTACTTTTCTGTCAGGTGCATCATTTTTGTTTCCCACTGTAATAATCCAGTAATTTTAATCTTCTTGCATATTTATTGGTTACTAGTTTTGTGTCATAATTTGTTTACACATGTAATACATACCCAATATCCTGTTGACAACATCACAGTTTTGTTCAATCTCATGTAGCCACCTTTTAACATTCGCAAATGAATCACCACTTGTCACATCATAAACGACGATAACTCCGTGTGTCCCTCTGTAATAACTATAAAAAGAGAATTATTTCTGATTAAAGGTTATGGAGTGTGGGTATAATTTGGGGAATGAAACAGAAACTTACGTTGAGGTTATGGTGCGAAACCTCTCCTGTCCTGCAGTATCCCATATTTGAAGCTTGACCCTCTCTCCTTCTATTTCAATAGTTCGTATTTTGAAGTCAACACCAATCGTTGTTATGTAGCTTCCAGAAAATGTGTTGTCTGCAAATCGCAGCAATAACGAACTCTTACCGACTCCTGTTTTGAAATAAAGGAGTACAGCTTAAAATCACTTAACATAATATAAAAATGTGATTTACGATACATGAATTGTGAAGGAAACTATACTATTTTTGTAGGTTATAAACCATGAACAGCAATCAACTGTTTCGACAGTACTTACCACTGTCACCTATTATGAGTAATTTGAAGAGATGGTCATATTCTCTGGCCATGTCTGTTACCAATTTCACTGTAGAGAGTGCTGTGAAGACTAGTTTTCCTCCTACACTCTTGGTATTAACTTTAAAATAACAATCTGTATTATTTTCCAAATGATTCATCCAAATTGTAAAGCCCAATAACCACCACTAGAAGCTTTCACACGGATGTTGATCTTTGATCTTGGACAGTGAAACTTCATTCCATGATTACCAACGCATTGAAGTTGTATTTCGATAGTGAATCTTTGTATTCTTGAAATGTTGGCAGCATGCTTCCATATCAACTTCCGTTGAAATATACCAAGGCGCAAGGGAGAGATGGAGTAGGATGTTCTAATATTTTAGTTATAACTATTTCAAAATAAGAACCAGGACATTCGACGATGTTAAAGAAAGGCATTTTTACAGACATGGCTGTAAAATTTGTTAGTCTGAAAACGAATCCCCACGTAACTCGTTTAATGGCTTCAAGGGAGCAAGTTGTGTCGGCACATGTCCTGGGATCGGGTGGTTCTGTAACAGAAGGAAACAGGTATCGTTATAATGTCATACAGAATTGTTGAAGATCGATGACTGTTGTTTTTAATGTAGTCTTAACGACGGCAGAATAATTAATTGGACTTACGGAAGACGTTTTGATCACAGTGTCCAACCAGTGAAAATGGCATATACGTCTTATGAATCAACAAAACCATCACCCATGTCAACAGGCTGTCCTGTTATCATAATGCATGGCTTGCTTGGCTCTAAGGGAAATTGGAATGCCATGTCAAAAATGTTGCACAGTAAAACCAATAGAAAGGTGAGCTGTCATCTAATATGTTTCTTGTACATATTTTTACTTTTACTTCTGTCACATTTAATTTTTGTACACACCATGAATATTTCAGGTATTTGCTGTGGATGCTCGTAATCATGGGGACAGTCCACATACTAATGAACTGTCATACAACCATTTAGTAGAAGATCTAAGATCTTTAATGAATGATCTTGCTATTACACGCTCTACCTTTATTGGCCATAGTATGGGTGGACGGGCTGTGATGCTTTTGGGCCTGAGATATGTAAGTTCATGATTAAAGCTAATCAGATTTCAATTTTTTAGTATCGTGACACAAATTCAACCATATTTTGAAATTAACTTATGGAGTAGAAAGTGAGGCATGCCTTTTCTCATAATGTGCCTAGGTTTATAAGCCAGCATGCCTACAAATTCACACATGATATGCATATAAAATCACATTCAACATTATCTTTTTATGATGTAAATTCACAGATGGTTTTGCAAGCAGTGCTTTTATTGGGGATTTGCATGCATGTATTATTTCCAAATTGGAAACTGCAGTTACATGAATATTATAGTTGGTAAAACTGCATACAGGTGGATATTTGAAGTCTGCTTCTGGCAAGGGACTGTTGTATTATAAGAGAGTTTTTGTGTTCTTACTGCCTTACCTTTGGGCAGGACAGTGTTTGCTTAGAGTAACTATACCCATTCTAGATTTATCAAGTCTGAAAGCCTTGGGAATGTAGTCTTGGCTTGTGTATGCACAGCAGCTGAAATTGTCACTGTTATCACCACTTATGTCTGAACCGAGCAGAGGGTGTTTAGTATCTTTCATTAATCAAAGAGTAGGTAATCTTGTCATAGTTGTGAGATATATTTAGTTGAATACAGAGTGGAATACTTTGGGAAGTATGTATCACCAATGTTTTGTAAAAAATATCCCACATTAACAGAGCCGTGTAAGCAAATGTTATACTGGAAACATTTTGAATGAATGAATTAATGGCGGCCAGCAGTTAACTACATTGACACTGTGACCATTTTCTTCTGTATTTAGCCTTCTGCTGGTCACTCACTACTCACAAATGCACACTTCAAAAGATTAGGAAACTTCTGAAAGGAGGCAGGGAAGACCCACACTGGGTTGTAGAGCCAAGGAAGTATGAGTTTAGCTCTCTAGCAGTTCTGTACCTTAGTGGGCCTTGTAGTCATTTCCAGATCATGCAAGTGATATGTGTTACTGTTGTGCTGACTCAGTGGGTGGTGTGGATGTGGTCCCTGTATGTTAAACCTTCTGCCCACCACAGTTCATTCTGGAACTTCCATGAGTTAGACTGTGGATTATAATGGAAAAGTCGTAATGTTGAGCAGTAGTTCTTTTGCTCTAAATTCACCTGTAAAGAGAAGTATTTTTTCACTTGAATTCAGATCTAGTTTGTTTGTTAGTTGTTTGTTATAGTCATGTGTAATGGTAAAAAGCAGAATATGTTTATATGTTAAATTGAAAGTTTTATAATTGTGTTTTCAGCCAGAATTGGTAGAAAAGTTAGTTATTGTTGACATTTCTCCAGTAACTATTAGTTCAAACCTCTCAACGATGCCCAGGTATTTTGAAGCAATGATGTCAGTGCAGATTGATGACAATGTTCCATTGTCAAAGGCTCGCAAAGTGGCAGACGAGCAGTTGGCTAAATATGTATTGGTAGGTGCTCAGAAGATTATTATATTTCTATTACAGTTTTTCATTATCAAAGAGTAAGCACTGTGTTGTGTCATATCTGAAAATAGCATTGAGATGTACAGTTTCTAAAAGAAATTACATTCTATTAACATGTTTTTCTTTTTTAATCAGGATTCGGGGACACGCCAGTTTTTGTTGACAAACTTAGTGGAAGCTGAAAGAGGTCATTTCAAATGGAGGATCAATCTGGATTCTATCATCCATAACTTTAATAATATTGCTGCTTTTTCACATATAGGCATGTCTTGTCCAGTGCCTACATTATTTATTGCAGGAGCAAATTCAGATTATATTAGGTCAGTATATAGATTACGATTGTATTGAGTCTCACACATAAAAAATGAAATTTTGCAGTTGTGCAGGTATTTTAACTTTTATATTAAATTCTCAAGGAGGACTCTGCTGAATGGAATGTGTTAATATCAGAGTTAAATTAGTGCCTGCAGTTTAAATGAAAATGTAATATTGGCACATTTTAGTGTATGTTTTCATGTTCAGTGTGAGGGTAATATATACATTTTAAGCTGTATTAAGATTGAAGTAATTGCTTCTAATTTTAATGATACAAATGAGCTAGTGAGCAGTTAATTGTCATGTAATATGATAGTAATAATGTGACAAGTATGTTATTTTCATGTTATATATTAATTAATTTAAGTTTTAGTAAACATTATGCCTATTGCATTATTAATAATGTCCTCTATGTTTTACAGATCTGAAGATCATGATGAGATAAAAAGACTTTTTCCAGCAGCAGAGTTTGAAACTGTTCCTGGGGCTGGTCATTGGGTCCATGCAGACAAACCAAATGAATTATTAGGAATTATAAAGGAGTTTATACAAAACACAGAGAAGATAGAAAAGGATATTTGAATTTTTTTTATGTTTTAGCTCTGTTTCTAGTCAGTTGTATATTATTTGATAGTTGTTATGGTGAATAAAACATTGTTTTGAAAAAAATTGTATTAAAGAAAATTTATTGTGTTATGTTGAAAGGCAATTGAATTTTTGTTTTAGAAACTGTTATCTCAAGAGTTGCTGTTTTTATCATCATTTTTTAATATTCCTGCTTCTGTGTTAGTTTAACAATTTGGACAGCATATTTGCAATTTTTTATTTTAGAGGAGAAATGATGTAATATTCATAGACACATGTTTTTAGCCTTCTTTAATTGTTTTTTAATAAAAAATGTAGAGTTAGAATGGCATGCAATATATTCCAGGACAATAATTTTTGGTTCTACTATGCTTGAAATAGAATAGACCTGGTGTTTTGTATGCTTAGTGAATCTGATTCCTAGTGGCAAAAGATGTTACATGCATTGAAATTATAATATTAAAACAATGGGATAATAAATTAATCACTGCTTATTCAAAAACAAAGGACTTTTTTTCATGAAAGTTCTTGTGAATCTGAAATTTGTGGCAGAAAGGAACACTAAACAATGTGTGCTTGAAGTCGCTGGAAAGAGACGTTCAAAAATATTTTTGTTTATTTATTGTTATGAGTAAAGTGCAGTATGTACAGAGTACATCAAACACAAACTTGATTATTTGTTCATTTTCAAGAGTAAACTAATTTATGGTTATATAACAGTTGACTTACTGCAAATGTAATACACAGTTTGGTTCAGAAAATCTATAAATTGGATCTCCATAATAATCCTCAGTACAAAAATCTATGTTGCAACAAAGAATCTAAAGAGTTAGGAGTGCCCACAAAAGTTTGCATCATTATGAAGCTGGTCTATCAAAATGGGTCTGAATGCTAGATCAGACACTGGTCAGAAGTGTTTTAAGCTAATTTAATGTTTGGTCAGATGGATTTTGGACTGTGGGAATACATGGCTGAGAAGAAAATATGGACAAATTATTCTCACAAAAACAATCTGGACATCATTATTATAACAATGTGTGTATTTTTGTTTGAGTCTTTGTCGTCAAAAAATGACGGCATTGTTGTGGAACACAACAATGCCGAATAAACAAATATAACGCTTCACAACAACGAGATCAACAACTACCAAGCCAGTCGCATTATCACTGCTCCAGAAGCAGCACATCGCCTCCGAACAGCGACATAAAACTATTTAAGAAATGAAAAGTGAAAGAAGATGTTACCAACACCAACAAGGAAATCTGATACTAATAATAATAATCATTCAAGGGTTAAAACACTTGAATAAGACACTAAACTAACCCCCGGGGGGAGGGGGATTGGTCAAGTTTTTACAGAAGGTTGGTTGCGTATTACAAACTTGACCAACCCCGCCCCCCCGAGGCGCTCCGAAAGGAGCGCTCTGCTCTAGTATTACAATAAATTTGTACTGTTACAAAACGGCGATCAACGTGAAGAATGTGATTAGCAGCTGTAAGTAGATAATTTAAAAATTTGTCACAGTGCCTATGCTTGTTGATTCACATTATAATTCAGGAAAGGACAAATTTGTTAAATGCACGACTTTTGCTTTTGTTAGCATAAGATGGTAAGAGATTTTGCCTCAATAAAGACGGAAGGTCATATTATATGAATGGACATAGATCCTAATAGGCAGGTTACGAAAGAAGTCATAGTACAATTTTCTACATTCAGAAATTATAATTACATGGATCAGACATTTTATCGTATGGCCTGCAACCTACTGGTAGAAAGCATAAGGGAGTGCAGAACATATTTCCCAGAGCGGTTATCTTAGTGAAGACATTTATTGTTTATATGTTGCCGCTTGTGACGTCTTTACATAAAGTGGTGGAATGTGACTGAGCTTGCGGGGTTAGATTGTACATAAGGGGAAATCCGGTAAATGCCATTGTACTATATGCTACCGGAACAAATTTTATGAAAGTTGTAGTTTGCTAAGGTTTCGCCGTGTAAAATGAGTGAGGTTTTGGATGCTGTCCAGGATTTGACATTAGTTGATCCTTTATTTCAGAATGTCAAGTTTTATGTTAGCGGGAAAGCACACGAAAAGGTAAATGAAGTGCTTGTATTGTGAATAGTGCTGTTATTTACATATCATTGATCCACCGTAGAACTAAGTAATGGATGTAACACTTGTCACATACATTTTATACAAATAGGCCTTTGCAGATAAATATATAGCTCTTTACTTCAATTTACAGACACAGGGGTGTTAAATATAGAGTCAAAAACTGTTATGTCAAATAGTAGTATTATAAACATTTGCAATATTTCATAATTTTCAATTTAAATACTTCTACTAAAGAATTTTCTGAAAAAGTACTTTCTGCCAGTGAAGTGAAGGGGCTAGGAAAAAGCGAATCTTTTAATGCTGCCATAATTATCTGTATGTAATGTTTTAAAATTTTGG